AACTGTGCCACCCAGGTGCCCCTTGGGTTTTCATAATAATTTTTATTCACAACGGTAACTGATACAGCTGGGGAAAACGGAGAGGTAGCCCATTTAGAGGAAACAGAATTTAACAAACTGAGCCCAGTGTCTCTATGGAGAATTTATTTTAGTCCGCATATTTTTAGAAATACAATATTTTTGTCACAAGTTTGGTTCAGTAATTAAGTCATCAAATGAAATTTTAAAATTTCAAGAAAGTTTTAGAAAGACTTTAGAGAGAAAAACTTTGATAGAAATACTAAAGGTAGAGTGAATCTTATATAAGAATATTTTGAAAGAGGAGTGCTGTGTGAGAACTTTTTACCTTTTGCTTAGGAGAATAAGTGTGAACTAGAGATTTTTGATGGATCCTTTTGCTTTTACTACTTGAGACTGGCGTCTCAAAAAAACTACCCTTCTTTTAGGAAGATTGTATGGTTTCTTGCTGGCAGTTTTTGGCTCAGTCTGTTGGCAATCAGTAAACTCTTCGGACAAATATTTTGAGGTGGCTCAGTAGGTTAAGCATCTGCTTTTTGACTCAGGTCATGATCCCACCAACCTAGGATGGAGTCCCACCTCAGGCTCCCTGCTCTGCAGGGAGTCTCCTTCTTCCTGTCCCCTTCCCTCTTTCCCTCTCCAAAGAAAAAAAATCTTAAAAAAAAAAAAAATTTTCAGGGCCTAAATTTTAGGTTTTGGATCTGGGTTTCCAGTCTAAAACCTTAGTTTAAATCGAGGATTCAAGTTGTCTGGTGTCTGGGTGGTGTGCTGAGTATTAAGGTGTTTTAGTTCGTTTTCCTTTTGATAAGGAATGTAAATTTTGTGATGTAATGAGTTGCAATTATAGGAGGTTACTAGTGGATTTTTGAGAAATTTAAAGAAATGGCTGAATTTATTTGAAAGGACAGTTACCTTGCAGTCAAAGGAATTGTTCTGGACTAAGGTGTGTTCTTAGTGATTCAGTGGTTAAGTTCTCTTAAAGAAAGGATTCATGCATCTTCTTGGATTTGTAAATCACAGTTCAAGCAAGGGTTTTGATAAATTGGTTTTAAACACTAAAATTTTGTTTTATTTTGAGCCTCTTTTGGGTAATATATCTTGCCTTTCCAGTTGTGAAGTGTATATTGAGCCCCCCCCCCCCCCCCCAAGAACTTTGTCTTAAAAAGGGTTTTTAGGAAAGATGCTTTTATTTCTTCGAATTAGTATTGCTACTAAAATTAGCCTTTTGGAATTTAAAAGTACAAATCAGGGAAAGCACTTTATCATCTGATTGAAAAAGAGTTACTGAGAAGAGCTCCAGAGAGATGAGTGTTTAAATTCAGCATTTATAGCCTCCTAGGTGGTGAATTTGGGGGTTATGTAGATACATGTGGTTTTAGCTTTCCTTTCACTAAAATGAGGGCTCTGGAAGGTCTGTAAATGAATTTTTTTTTTTTTTTTAAAGTAAGCTTTATGCCCAATGTGGGGCTTGAACTCACAGTCCTGAGGTCCAAGAATCCCATGCTCTACTGATTGAACCAGCCATGTGCCCCATAGAAATTTTATTTTTAGTATCTGGTAACTTTCCTGTAGACAGGGTCCCTGATTATTGTCCTTATTTATTGCTATATTTATAATCTTGGTCTTTCAATTCCTGAAATAATTCATACCATGTTTCTTTCTGCTTAACCAATAGGATTTTTTCCCTCCAAGACTGCCCTCATCAAGCTGAAAACCTGTTTCTCAGCTGTAGTGTTCTCTGTCATCAAAAAACCACTACCACCAACAAAAGAACACAACTTGCTACCTTGAGTTATTAAGTTAAAATAAACTGTTTTTAAGGCTGTATTTTGAAAAAAATCAGTTCTTCAAATAGTACTTACTCAGCTTAGGGATTTTTGCTGTTCTCTTTATTTCCTCCCTTACCTTCATTTCACACAGTTTGTGACATTCCTAGGTTTTTACTATGTAACGTTCTATTTGTTACTTTGTTATGGACAACTTCTAAAGATATTTTGATCACATTTTTGATGTGTTACACTGCCTTGTTGCTTATTGATGATACTTTGTAGTTAAGAATTTCACATATAAACATACAAAGGACCATTTTATAATGATGTTTTGGAATTTGCATGTTTGAATATATGTGGGAAGAGGAAAAAGAAATGTAAAAGATTTTGTTCTGAGAAATACAGGTCCTGGGCAAGATGAATGGTGACTGTGAAGAGACAGAATCCCCAAAGGTTGGATTAGAACACAAGCAGGTACAGAAGTTGTGGAGACATAAAATCATAAGGCCTGCTATTGTCTTGTGCACACAAATATGACCATTGTTATTTACTGTCCCCTGACTCAAAAGATTTTGGCAATGCCTTACCGTGCTGTTTTGGGGCTTGAGTGTATAGGGACCTAGTATCATCATTTTGGTGACTTCTGAGCATACAGAAGTAACGATGAGAAGTGATATCTGAGTCCTGCGTCAGATGGACACAATTTCATAGAGATCTGGCCATTAGAAGCACATTATCCCTAGAATCTAGGATTTGGGGATTAGAGCATTTTTGCTAAGAGTTCATTCCTAATCTATTTAATCTTAAACGTGAAGGATATTAGTAATTTGAATATGTTTCTAGAGTTGTATTTTTTCTTAAAGTTTTTGGAAAATGTGCACCCAAACAAAACTGATGGTGGTGGTGGAAGTAAAGTGGGGATGGGTTGGAAAGAGTTGAATAAATGTTGACATTTAGGTAGAAAAATAGGTTTCTGTTATAATGAAGGGTAGAATTTCCCAGTGGCTTAGAGTTCTGACTTGAAGGAACTCATTTTGTAAATTATACAGAAATGACAAAAATTTCTTGGTGAAACATTCTAGACTCTGAAAGTTGTTTGTGAAGGAGTAGAAAATTTTAATGAAAGCTGAAGAGGACTAACCTCTGGTGGTAAGGTATGTTTTACTTCATATTCATGAACTTGGAAATTCTGTTTCTGAAATACTCCTTACAAATGTTAAGGGTATTAATAGAGATAGATTTGCTGGTAACATAACTGTTAAAGTGCTGATCAGAATCATTGCAGAAAGTGATTGTGGTTGAACCTGCTAGGAATAGAGAAATTCGTCAGGCTCTCATTATTATAACATGGTCAGATAATCAGAATTGGAATGGCAGCTCTTAATTTTTACCTTTGGGGAAGAAAGAGGAATAAAAAATTGTCTCTGAAATTGCATGGCAGGAACTGCTATAGCACTATCGGAAGGATTGTATCCCGTGTTTAGCCTCATATGAGGATATTTGCATTGAAATGTCTCATAGCATACAACTAAAGCAGGTGATAGACGTTTGAAGCTGGAGTGAGATCAGGGCCAAATACAAGATCATGCAATTGAGTAGCCAATGTGAGAAGAATGCAGTGACTTTAGATTAGTTACCTGCGTTTTGTGATTAGTGAATCTATGTTATGAAGGAAAATGATTTTATATTTAGCCACATCTATTCAAGAGTTTTTCAAGAGTTTTTATCTTTAAATTTTCTGGGGTAGTAGTAGTGATCTGCTTACTTTTCAGCTGTTTTCACTGCGCGTTTGTTTCAGTTTTTGGTTTGCTGTTTGCTTAGAATAATGTCTGACATAGAGTAATCATTTCAATATTAATAATTGTTGCTTTGTTTTTTAAATTACTGGTATTTCTGTTTTCTGAATTTCTGAAATTTTGTTGCAATTTTTTCTTTTCTCTTTATTGTCATTGTTGGTTTATGCCTCAAAGTTCCTTTAGTATTACTAAATTGACTTTTGGACAGGAAGATGAGGTGAACTGGAAATGTTCATCCCTGCCGTGTTTTAACCAGGTACTGCAAGTATGTTTATTTAGCTAGTTCTTAGTGATATTATGGAGTCTAGTGTGATAAAGATGTCTTGGAAAGTTATTTACTGCGAATACCTTGTGGCTCAAAGTGTGTAGGATTTGACTAAGGTTGTCTTCTTGACAGTAATATAAAGGGTCACTTAATGTCAGCTGTAATCATACAAGTGCTGTGTGGACTGCACTCCCAAGGTTACACAGTGGCAGAGCAAGTATTTGAAGTTACTCTACACCCAAGTCCTTTGCTCTTTCTTGAATGTCAGAACTTAACAGTTTGTTTCAGCTGTATCAGTCAAATGAAGATAGATTAAAAATACTGGTTTCAAAATTAATTTTAAGAATAGAAAATGATCACTGATTTTTATTACAAATCTTTACATTCATTCCAAAATGGCTTTGAGGCAGTGTACTTATTGTAGTTTTTTTGTTTTGTTTTGTTTTTTTGTTTTTAAGTGAAGGTGGAAGGGAACTTGGTAGGAAAAATAAAATTAAATTAATGGTAGTTCAGTATTCAAAATGTAATAATGCTTTTTATTAATGGCGGAGTATAGTATTTTATTTGTAATTTCACCAAGTAGTATGGTGAACATTAAATCTCACAGTTTTCGTAATTCCATAAGGTATGATGCTGTAATGAACCATTAAGTTAAAATTATGCCCAAGAATGTGTAAATGCTAGAACTTGGGATATGAACCTTAGCAGCCTGATTATAGGAGCATGAACTCCTAGTCACGGTACTAAAGACAGCCTTGCTCACTTTGAGTATAGACTAATACCTATGATGTTTCAGGGACATACGCTGATTTTTTTCCTAATTCCAGGGTAGGTGACACTATGTAGAAACAGATTCAAAGAGGCTAAGTAACTTGTGAGGCTGTATAGCTCATTATGATGGAGATGGAAATCAAACCCACATCTGCCTAATTCCAAGCTTTGTGTTCTTTTCAGTGTTCCATGTTTATATGTGTAATACAGGCTTTTGCAATTAATGTAATTTTTTTTATGTGCTCTCTTTAAAGTGGGGCTTGAACTCACAACCTTGGGATCAAAAGTTGCATGTTCTACTGACCAGGCCAGCGAGGTACCCCTAATGTAATGTTTAACTGGATATTGACATGCTTTTGATAATGTTTTTGTTTTTTGCAGGGATTTATCAAAGATGTTCATGAAGACTCCCTCACAGTTGTTTTTGAGAACAAGTAAGTCTTTTTTGATCGATAGAGATCTTAAAGATTGTGCTAAATTCGTGTTTGCTTCTGGGTGTTCTGATTGCCAGTGAAAAATTATTTTGCTTTTGGGTGGGAGTCTTTGGTTGTTTGATCATCTTATAAGTTCAGGTAGTTCTAGTTTTGATAACTTTTCACCTTTTTCTTCCCACAGTGTACTTGTTAATTTTTTCATGACTTTTTTTGGTAAAAACATAATGTGAACATGAATTAGTATTTTTTGCAAAAATCAGATGGCACAAATGGGATTATACTATGTATAATTCTTAAAATCGCAGAATGTTGAAACGATGATGTCGAAGGCTTTCCATATGGCTGTTGGTTTGTATTGGGCCGCCTTTAATTTAAACTTGATATTAATTAGGAGTATCAGTTTTATAGTTGTTGTAGGGCCTAGGCCTTGTTTAAAAAATGTGAAAGATGGGCACCCTGGTGGCTCATTCGCTTAAGCTCATTCGGTTAAGCAGCTGCCTTTGGCTCAGGTCATGACCCTGGAGTCCTTGGGTTTGAGCCCACATTGGGTGGGGGGGGGGGGGGTTCCTACTCAGCGGGGATCCTGCCCATTCCCCTGCTCCTAATCCTCTCTTTCCCAAGTAAATGTGAAAGTATGTTGGGCTTGGTTCGGAGGAGTTGTAAAGGAGCACTGTATAATTGAAGGTCAAAGGATGTCTTCAACTTTCACTTTTAAGCTGATTCTGGAATGGCCTGAAGAGAGATCCGCCCAGCAGCTTTGCGTGTAGAAACATGTGTTGGGATGATTCCTGTCTTTGAGCAGCTGCCATTTAGATCGTAATGGTGAAAAGAAAGCATTCAAAAGTCTTGTTTCCTGTTTTGCACAACATCTTCAGTTGGAAGCCATAGGAATTTATTTGATATTTTGTGTGCTAGTGTACCTCCCAGGCATATGAGTATTATTAGAATAGGGAGGAATTTTTAATTTTATCAACCCAGTTTATACAGTATGACACAAAAAATGTTAGTTAAGCAATAGCTAAGTTTGTTTTAATTTGGTCATATTTGCTATAAAGATAGAAGTCGGCTTTTCCCAAGTTTTGATATTAACATGTATATTCATTGCAGAAAATGTAAATTCTGTGTAAGAAGATTAAATCTTGAAATTCAGTTATGTAAAATAACAGTAATTTTCTGGATTTTTGTGAACATGTGCACATGAATTACGAAGTTAATATTCTGTAAGCTCTGAAATTCTGTTCCTTTGAGAAGTCATATACTTGTAAGATTGTTTGAAGTAAGTTGGTTGCACTGCTGTTTATTGACAATGTAGAGGTGACATTATTTCAAGTCTAAATTATTACTATGAACTTAGCCTACTTCATTTTTAGAAAACTGTATGTACTGTTACTTTAGGATGAGTAATTTGGACAGTTATACATAATTAGTATTAATGATGTTAATTTATGAACTTCATCAAGAGTCATGCAAAAATTTTAACAGACTAATTACTTGGAAAAATATAATATGAATGAAGCTTGCTTTTCATTAGGGAAAGCTAAATGATTAATTCAAATATACACCACTAAGCATAGATTACAGCTGACATATTAGGGGCTTTTCGAATAATCTGTTTCAAAATGGTTAATTCCTTTCCTGATCTTTCAGCTGGCAGCCAGAACGCCAGGTTCCATTTAATGAAGTTAGATTACCACCACCACCTGACATAAAAAAAGAAATTAGTGAAGGAGATGAAGTAGAGGTATGTATTTTAAGTTTTTTTGTGTGTGTGTTTTAAATAAATATACTTTTAGGAAAATCTGTTTACCTGATAGTTTCGCTGGTCTTTCTATTGTTAATTGGCTGTGTAATATATATAGCAGGGCTTGAATTTTGGAGTCAGTTGGGATTCATGTCTTAGCTTTAACATTTATAGCTTTGTGTCCTTGGTCAAGTTTCTTTACCATGAAAATAATAATTTGGGAGTTAAGAATGATAGTGTATTTGAATTGGTTTATATAGAATATGGCACAGAGAGCTATGTGGTGTTGGTTGCTGTTTTCCTTTTTGCTAATTACTTTAAAACTTTTCTTGTACTTTTTTTCTTAGTATCTTTATAATATATTAATAGTTATCTTTTATTGTGACCATTAATATAGTTGATGCATTAAAATGTGAAATATGGTAATATGTATACGGCCTTGTTGTATACTTTAGAAATGTCCAGAAGATTTTAAAAGTACAGAAAAACAAAAAGGACTAAATAGGAATTACATGAGAAGAAAAAACCACTATTCACTGTATTTGTCAGTCAGTCACAGGCTGTCCCCTACTTTTAAAAATAAAAGTGGGATCATATAGTGCTACTTCTTTGTATGTTGCTTTTTTCACACTAGTAGAGTTTGGATGTCTATTTTCAATATGTTAATGTTGTTAAATATGCCTGATGTTATGTGAAATGAAACATGGAAGTAACTGTCAAATAGAGGTGTTGTGAGTCTGTTGGAAATAGGAAACTTGTGATTTTCAAGAAATTGATATAATTCCTTCAAGGTGCTCTAATATGCTAAATATGTTTTTCTAGTTTATGTAGGGTTGGGTTGGGGATCTGGAGGTATAGGAACACTTAAACAGATGAAATAATCTGTCTTAAATGTTTTTATAAGCACTTAGCAGTATGTATTCTGTGCCAGACAGGGTTCTGAGTCTTGGGATATGAACTCATTTAGGTATGTTTTTTACTTTTTGTAAATTCTAATGGTAAATATTGAGTTCCTATTAATCGTAGATGTTAATGTGCTAGGAACCCAAAGAACGGTGGCACTTTTAATTCCTGGTAGCCTAAATTCCTTTCCATTCTGAAATTTGGCCTAGATTTTAATTACTTGCTCTAAATTCACTAGAAACCCTTTTGCTTTTGCTGAATCAAAGTTTGTTACGACTTGTGTTTTTTTCTTTTACAGTTCATATACACCAAAAGTGGAAACTAAGGACTTCTTTCTAAGGAGCCCTGTAACTGTAGTCTAGGTGTGATGTGTATTTGTGTCTTTTAGGGAAGTATCATAGATGTTATGCGAAGACACAGGGAAACAAAGTGGCGAAGTGTTTCAGTAAATTAAGGAGTGTGAAATAGGCTACTGGTGGGTACTGTGAATTGTAGCAGTGATGCTGCTGATTACTACTGTACTTGTTCACTTGGACTTTAGACTCCAGTGAAAATGTTTTTCTCAATAATGAATCCTTTTCTAGTCAACATCTTTTTGTAGGGAGGGGTAAAAATTTATATCTGTTTCAAAAGTTTTTTCTTCTGGAATTCTTGTGATGAGTCGGGTTAGGCAAGGAATGACTTCGTTTTGGAAATGTTCTGGAATTAGAAATGTGTGGTGGTTAGTTGTGAGACTAGTGCTTTTCATAGTTTTTAAATTTTTCAGATAATGATAGTGTCAAGGCTCAGATTAAAGGAAGAACTTGGTGGTGTGCTTGTGATGTTGTTATATTGTGCTTTCCCCTGTCTCAGACTAAGAAGTTCCTGGACCATCTTTTTTGCCTGCCTCCCCAGCTGTATACAAAATATTAGTGTAAGAGATGGAATGATTTGGAAATTGATGATTGCAGAGTGTTTTCTTTTACATTGTCTTTTATGGTTGCATTTTGGTGAAGTTTGCTCCTTAAATTATGAGAATCATTATCTGAAATTAAGATGTCATTTTTTTCCACTTTTGAAAAATTTGAAAATTCACATGAATTTTAAAATCGATCTTGCCACCCATAGATTTTAAATTATTGAAACTCCTTACTCTTTTTTTAAATTTTTAAAAATTTAATTCTAGTGTAGTTAACATACAGTGTTTGATTAGTTTTACGTATACAATATAGTGATTGTGTAGGTTTATATGTGTTACTCAGGGCTTATCAAGGTAAGTGTACTCAAAGTCTCCTTCACCTCTTTCACCCATTCCCCTACCCATTTCCCCTTCTGTTCTCTATACTTACAAGTTTGTGCTTTGGTTTGTCTTTTTTTTTTTTTCCCCTTTGCTTTATTTCTTAAATTCCACATGTGAGTGAAATCATACGGCATTTGCCTTTCTTTAACTTGCTTATTTTGCTGAACATTGTTCTGTCTAGCTCCATCCATGTCGTTGCAAATGGCAAGACTTTATTCTTTTTAATGGCTCAGTAATATTCTGTTGTGTTTGTATCTGTGTGTATACACATACACCCCACATCTTTGTCCATTCATCAGTTGATGCACACTAGGGCTGCTTCCATAGTTTGGCTATTGTAAATAATCCTGCAGTAAACACAGAGGTGCATATATCTCTTTGAATTAGTGTTTCTGTATTCTTTGCGTAAATACCCAGTGGTGTGATTACTGAGTATTTAGGGTAGTTCTCTTTTTAATCTCCTCCCCCTTTATTTTATTATTATTATTATTTTTTAAAGATTATATTTATTTGACAGAGAGAGATCACAAGTAGGCAGAGAGGCAGGCAGAGAGAGAGAGAGAGAGAGAGGAGGAAGCAGGCTCCCTGCCGAGCAGAGAGCCCGATGTGGGACTCGATCCCAGGACCCTGAGATCATGACCTGAGCCGAAGGCAGAGGCTTAACCCACTGAGCCACCCAGGCGCCCTCTCCTCCCCCTTTAAATTGTAATAAAGTTTAATGTAAAAAATGAAATGATACAGTATTACATAAAATAAAAAACGAACTTCCGTCTTAGTGTAGATATGCTTGTCTGTACACTCTAGCTTAAATCTCATTTACAAGAATTGTATTTTTCTTTGCATTTTTAAAGAGTTTAAAGTTAAATTGGGAATATGTTATATATTTGTGATTTCTGTATTCAGTCAGTTGGGATATAATAGACATTTTCATGCTGCACATAACAGATTTACTTGATTCTTTCTAACCACCCCATAATTTTTTTTTAGTACAGATGTATCATAATTAGAAATTAAAATTACTGGCAGATTTTTTGCTGTTGCCAAAAAAATAAACTCAGAGTAATGTCCTTAAGTAAACCGCTTTTCTGATTGTATGGAATCTAAGTGGTTCACTTGCTAAATTGGAGGCATATATATTTAAAATTTTGATGGTACCAGAACATACAATTTTGTCCTCCAAAAGTGTATTTTGATTTACTACTTCATACTTTTGCTAATACATGAAGGTGTTTGTTTCCTCATAGATTGACTGGCCTGGGTTATTATTAAGTTGTAAAGTTTTATAAACCTGGTAACAGGAAAGCTCATGTGTTCAGTGTTAATATTTCCTTTATCACTAGTGATATGGAGCATCTTTTAAATTAGTTTATTGGCTGTAAGCCCTTTGTTCTATGAATTTTGTGTGGTTTTGTTTATGTGGATTTTGATGTAGGAAATCTTTGTATTTTATGGATAATTTTTTATCTGTGGTGCTTTCTCCTGGACAGTTAAGAAGTATATTTAATCGCTTTTCCCATGAAGTTTAGTCTGGTAAGTTTTTGGTGTGGCCTTCAGGATACTTTTTTCTGTATTTCTACAGGTGTAGTCTTTTTTGTTTTAAGGAGTATTTTTTTGTTGTTTTGTTTTGTTTTTTTAAGCTTTATTTATTTTAGAGAGGGTGAGTGGTGTGCATGTTAGGGAGGGGCAGAGGAAGAGTGGGACAGAGAATCCCAAGCCGACTCCCTGCTGAGTGTGTAGCCTGATGTGTGGGGCTCCATCCCACCACACTGAGATTATGACCTGAGCTGAAATCAAGAGCCAAACGCTTAACCAACCGAGCCACCCAGGCTCCCCAGGAGTATTTAGGTTTTTAATCTAACTTGATATTTTTCTCTAGACAAATTCATTGCACAGTATATTTTAGTATATTAACTTAAGTCATCAGTCACTGTTTCTGTCAGTCACATACCATATAGCATTAAATAACAGTTGACACTTGTATAGCACTAACATGTATAAGCTATAACTGGCTTTTTAAAATTTTAAGATTTTATTTATTTGAGAGAGAGAGTGGGCACTTACATGTGCAGGAGCCAGAGGTGGGGGTGAAGTGGGTTGAGGTGGGTAGAGGCAGAGGGGAAGGGACAGACCTCCCCCCCCCCGCCCCCCCAAGCAGGGAGCCCTACCCAGTGCTCAGTCAGAGGACTCCTGGATCATGACCTGAGCTGAAGGCAGATGCTTAACTGAATGAGCCACTTAGCACCCCCAACTGGCTGTTTAAAAAAATTATCTGAGTTTGACATAAGTTTCTTGAGGGCCTCTTCTAAGCTCTATGAATACTTACTAAGCTTTCCAAGGTCACACAGGCTGAAGGTTGGGAAACCGAGAACCAGTTCCAGTTTTTGACTTGAATGTTATCCTCTGATACATTACACTATATTCATAGGGTGTTGTTAGTTTTGTGCCAGACTCTCAACTCTTGTTCTTTTGTACCTCTAAGAACCCTTTCTCTTTTGAGAAGGGAAAGGCGACTTTGATTTGGTCATCCCTAATGGATTTAGAACAAAAAAGATACAGGAGGGAGCTTTTTATCGAGTCTCTTCAGTCATTTATTTAAAGTTCAGTATGACAGTTTTTTTCTTGTAAGTCAGGAATGGTTGAATTTTGACAATTTCATATGGTTTATCCTAAAATTTTACTACTGTAAAAATGTTTGGCTACTTGAGGTTCATCTTTCCAGTCAATATATGGGGCTTACATGGAATTATATAATATAAATTAGTATCATGTTCTAATGTCCTTAAGGAAACACTATATGATTTATAAGAGAAAGAAGATT